CTCTCCATTCCCTCCCCTGGTGGCCATCCTCTTTCGCCCGGCGTTGTGCCACGCTTTCTTGACGCCCTGCCACACCCCCCCCCCCCCCCCCCCCCCCCCCCCCCCCCCCCCCCTCGCCCTCCCTCCGCCCAGGATGGGGTTGCTCGGGATGCCGCCGGCGGCCATGTTCTTCGGCCCTTGGCTCGTCCAGGACAGGGTGGGCCCCGGCGGCCGGACAGAGCATTTCCCGGCCCCTCGCCGCAACCTCCGGCCCGGGTCCGCACGCTCTCATGCACACACGCACACACATACATCCGCCCGGATGCACCTCGGGCCCGGGGCGGCTCGGCCTCCTCTGGGCCCGGGGATTGGGGAGTTGGCTGCGGCAGCGGATCTCATGGCGCCGGGAGGCCGGCGCCCGCCCGGCGCGCATCGCATGGCGCGCGCGGGGTTGATGGGGCCCGGACGCAACGTGCGGCCTCGGGGCCGGGGCCGGCCCCGAGCGTCTCCCCCGGAACCGGCCGGGGCCGTGTGCTAACAAGGCCCCCCCCCCCCCTCCCTGGTGCCGGACGCCGGGCCCGGCGCTGGCACGCAAAGGTGCCAGTGACACGAGTTTCTCAGGGGAGGTCGGGCCCTCTCGGACCGCGGGCCCGGGGCGGGGCACACACCGCCGGACCCCCCGATGGCAAGCCGGCGGCGCGTGGTGCTAACTGCCGCGATACACTCGCGGGGCGGGGGGCCGGGCCGGGCCGGGCCGGGCCAGGCCGGGCCAGGCCGGCTCGGATGCGCGCGTGCGCGCCCCGTTCGGCCTGTGGCCGTGTCACACCCCGGGCCTGGGCATCCCCGGCCGGCGCCCTTCGCCCGGAGCGCCCTTTCCGGGCCTGCCGCGCGCCCCGCCCGCGGCCGATGTCTCATCCCGCGGGCGATGAGGCCGCACCCCCGTGGACCGTCTCCGCCCTGCCCGCCCCCCCCCCCCCCAAGCCGCCCCTCCGGGGCGGAGGCCAACCGGCCGGGGGTCGTGTTTACCGATGCGGGCCGAGTGCGCCGCTGGGCGGCCCGGCGTTCGTCCGGGCGCCTGCCGGGACGTCTCGCCTTGCGCGGCAGGCGGGCCGTAGCACGCGCACGGCCAGCCAGGCTGCCCTGACGGGAGGGGGGGCGGGGGGGGGGGGAGGCCTTCGCCCCGGGGCCGGCTCCCATGCGCCGCGACGGCGCATGCCCTTTTCATGTATATGTCAGACGATGTGTCCTGGCGCCGGCCGGCCGGTCGGCCGGGGCCCCGCGCAGGCGGCGGCTCGCCGGAGTGAGACACCCGGGCGCCGGGCGCCCGAGCCAGCCCACCCTCGGCCCCGGGCCACAGGCTGTGTCACCCCTTTCTCCCCCCCCCCCCCCCCC